TGCAGATGCTTGACAAGCTGTTTGTCGGATACAACCTGATAGGAAAGACAGAAGTTCAATATTTGTTTGTTAAAACTTAAAAGATAAAAATGAGGTACAGCTCATAAAAGACGTATATCTGTAATAAGGTAATAAGGCTAGTTACTAGAAGTACCATGTTCACTTGGGCGTTATTCGTGACTTCCTTTGCTCGGGTGGCAAAGTAGAGAGTATTGCGAGATTGTTCGACGTGACTAGATGCAGGGCTGAGAGTGCATATTATCGCAGTACGGGCGTTCCCACCAAGTGAATGTTGCAATATTCTTGTCAGCTTTGAGTCTCGGTAGGGTATATGACCACTTCTTTTGCCCACACTACATATAGGAAAAAACTATAGAAATGAACCAATCTGAATGGAGAATTTGGACGTAATGACAGAATAAAGTGATAAGTTATCAACTGCAGCAAGCTGCTATAGACAGGCATGTCCTCAACACAAAGAATGAGTTAACTTTTAGCACAGAACTAAAGTAGCAAAAAAATATTTGCCCATGCTTTACACTGTACAGCGAACGGGGATGATGAGATAACTTCAATAAAGAACTAAAGCACAATGTTATCCATGCTGTTTTCCATCAGTCAAAGCTGTCATATAAGTGGTTACAGACCTGAGCTTTCTAATTACGGTTGTGAGAGTCATCAAACTAAGATTGATATGGCAGCCTTCCCTAAGCCTGGCACCATCTGCATTTGTCTGTGAGGCTCTTTCACTCCCAGCCAAATCTACAAAGTTCTGCAGCACAGAAATATTAATGATTAAGGTCATGAGTCTATCGCTCACAAGTGTCCTCTAAAACAATCAAGACGGAGGTTCATTTACCAAGCTTGCTACATAAGACCTCACGCAATCAGAACTTTCGCGAAGAGTGCTTTCTATCGTCTGCATTGTGATAAAAAAAAAAAAAGTAGCAATAGTCAGTTCAACAAAATTGTTGCTAAGGGCATTTCAGTAGGGGAACACAAGAATTTCAGACTCAATTGAGGACTGACCAGTCTTATTATCTGGTGAGATCGCGAGCTTGTATCATTTAAGGCAGTTTCTCCTACTTGCCTCTGAGCTGCAGATTTAAGAATGTTGGTACATTTTGAAGAAGGCTGCGCCGGTGTTGCATAAAATAAAGCAATTTCACTTTGAAAGAATCAAATTCTTACCCTCACAGATACTAATTAAATGTCTCAGGTGTTGGTCATTGCTTGCTGTTTCTTCCACCAATTTCTCAACGACAGTTCCTTTCTGCAAATCAAAAGGATACCATGTAAGATTGATACAAGAGAGTGAAGGCTATAAAATTTGAAGGTCCGTTAATTTTAGCTTAAGTATACCTCCGGATCATCAAGAAGCTTGAGACTGCGACCAGATTCAGAATTCAATAGGTCCCTGACATTTTCATTGTAGATCTCCAGTCCAGATATTCTTATTCTAAATTCTCTTTCTGGGGTCTATGACAACAATGTCAAATAACAAAAAAAGAAAAAATGAATCAGAAGCAGTTCCAAGGATAATTGCACTTCCAAAGACCGTCAAATTTTTTGTTTTATTTCAAGTTAAACAAACTACGTAGTATAAAGATGTAGAATTTATAGAAAATACAAGGATGAAACAGGTACTACTTGACTTATCACTTACACTCATTATATGTGCATATATGTCGTTTACAGCTTTCTCGGTAATTCCCCTCATTGTGTAAGTCTTCCCACTGCTGGTTTGTCCATACGCAAATATAGTTGCTGAGATGCAAAAAATCCACGATCAAAATGTTTCCCAAAAGCTTGACTTATTTATATAAAACCTACTTTATGAGTACGAGCAAGAGACTTACCATTTATTCCCATCAAAGAGGATAAAGCCACATTCTTTACTCCTTCCTCATACACTGCTTCAGTTATACTATCTGGACCGAAGACTTTATCTGAGATAAAAAAAGAAAGGTATATTCTCAATTAGATTTTAGAGTCTAAATTAAGATAAGACGGCAATGGCAAGAACAATAGAGCCAATGGATGTGCCTTTCAATTACCAAATGTAAATGATGAAGCAGGTTGAGCAGCACGTTCCTGGGGCACTGGTCTATAAATAATTGTGTGATCATCAATGCATTCCCATGCAGCATGGTCTTTAGCTGAAAGCTCCCTTTTGTTCAGAGGCCTTAACCGTACTGTTACAACAATTTTCTCCTCTCTACCTCGATGCCCATTAGGCGTGGTTGCGGGAGTCTTATCTATCTTTGAAGCTGGAGTACCAGGAGTTCTAACAGTCATCTTGACTAGATATAGACCAGTAATTTCCCAAAATGAGTTCCAGCTGAAAAATGCAAAAGCCTCTTGAAAGGAGACTGAGATAATGGATTTTTAGATGTTCTGATGAATGATGATCTTATTGTAAAAAGAAAATCAATTTAACCATTGACACAGTGCTAGAATTTATAAATATCCCTAAACACGGTCGATTTAAGCGCAGTGCGGAGTAACCACAACGCCCTGTTACTCCTTTGTGGCAATGGGTGAAAACTTGGTTAATTATGGTTCAAATTGAAGACAGTGAATGCGGAAACACCCCTAAACAAAACTCTACATTCGCCCCCTGCCAAGTGCTCCTACAGAACTAAACCCAATTTTACAATTGTTTCTGTTTTATGAGGAATAAACACACACACACACACACACAAAAGATGGTACCTAACTTCATTAGTGTACAGGAAGAATAGTAAAAAATATTTGTTAAATACAACGGCAAAAAAACCAAAAAAATAAAATAAAAATAAGAAATTCAGGGTCGTTTACTTAGATCTCAGATCATTTTCCTATTCTCTACTTCAACTTCCGATTCAAAATTAGGATTTCCTAATTTGACAAAATAATTTGAATATCGCCAAATTCCACCAAATTCAAGTAACATGCGCAGTTAGCACTACTAGAAAACAGATCTCTTAAATGAATAATTTCAAGTACTACTTTTACTACCATACAAAATCGACAAGTTGACAACAAACTAAAGATTGTTGAGCGAAAGAAAATTTAACAATATGAAGTAAAGTTTGCTTCTTTTCACCTGAAATTGAAAAAGGAAACAACACATAGAATGCTTCTTAGATCTACCTGAAAGGAACAGAAGACGATTGATTTGCGCCTGAGATCTGAGAAGACAAAATCTGATAGAGAGAAAACAAAGGATATCGAAATGGAAAGAGTACGAGCTATAAGGCGTCTGTAAATTGGGCTTTTGAATTTCAAGTCTCCAACGGCTAGTTCATTCTCTCGTGGGTCCTATGGTTGATTTTCTCGTGTTTAATGGATTTTCCTTTTTTGTTTCGTCAATATATCGCCGATCTAGCGGTGCAGCGCTCAAGGTTTAACGGTTTTGTGACTTTGTCATTTGTAAATTAATTTCGTTCCGACAAAAGAGACAAACTGATGCATGTTATTTGCTTCAATGCCCCTGAATTTTAGGGGAATCTTATCTTCGACTCACCTTTTCCTAATATATTTCTTTTATCTCTCAAGCCTTTAGTTTTCTTTTTTCTTTTTCTCCATGGGCCTTTTAATTTGTAGATAAATAAAGAAGGGATTTTTTCATTCCTATACACTATTTGAAATTTTACTATCCTTAATATCCATGTTTAGCTAATTATCTGACATAAACAAGTTTTGTTATGAAATATATACAATCCACATTAAAAAGCTTCAAAATCTATTATTTATGCTTTCAATCAAGGGACGTAATTACACCCTTTTCCTTCTTTTTTTCTCTTCTTCTCTTTCCTTACTAGTATACTTACCCGCGCGATGCGCGGACCATTTTAAACAAAAAAGAGCATAGAGAAATATTAAAAAGAGATATATATTACAGACTATATTTAATGACTGCAATAAAAAAAATTAAATGAAAAGAAAAATAGGTGAATTCTATCGGCTTATGTCTATGAATTTGTTGTTAGGGACCATCAATCCTCAAAAGCTATTTTAACATACCTGAGAAATGATACATCAATATTTGGCTTTAAAACGATTAGTCCACATGAAAATGCATAAACTTTTGATTCAAGTAGAAACACAAAGGACATCACATTTGGTTAAAATCTTATTTCAGCTCCTGTCTCGAACGAAGGTTAATATGGGTGCACCAACTTGCACAAAATATTATTTTAAGTAGCTCCAACAGAAACCACATAGTGACTTAATCTTGATAAATTCCCATCCTTCAAAGTAGGCCACACACAACAAATAGAACATGTGCAATAGCAAATATAATGGTTAAACAATAGCCTGAAAAAATCATCCCTCGAGAAATACTCAAGTCCATAATAGGACACTACAATTCTCTTAAGTAACCAAGTAATAATCAACAAAAATATTGCACCTCTAATCAATGGTTTAACGCAAAAATAAAAATGCCAATACTAAAGAGATAATGACACAGGTAATTACTTTTGTTGATATGAAAATAATAATATTTGATAACAGGTAATTACTCTACCACCAAACTGCAGAGCTCTACATGATGAATAATCTCTTCTCCCTTGCTCCTCATTTCGATCAGATAACCAAATAACAAATTTTTCCAGTCGTGAGAACAAATTAACAATTCGAACATTAATTGGAGAAGTCATCAGCAATGTATTAGTGACTTTAATCATACATTTCCTATCAAAGTAAAAAAGAACAGAATCAAATAATGAAGTAGTAGAACTTAGGAGTTAGCATATTGAGAAAGAATCTTGTTGTATCACAACAATAAAAGACAAACAAAAAAGAATGAGTAGATCGATTAGCACTCAAAATATGAGTATATGAAAACATCTTAGACATTTGAGTAATGCGGAAGAAATATTAGAAACGGATATATATTGCAGACTAAATTTATCGGTCGTATTAAAAAAATAAAAAAATAAACCAAAAAACAAATTAAACCACACTTTCAATTTCCTCGCCGAGAATGGATTCAGTCAGTTTCCTTTCTTTTCATATATTGACGTTGCATTTTATAATAAAAGCATTTCTTTCCTACTCCTCAATAACTGTTGTACAATTGGCACATAAACTCTATCTTCATGACTCATACTCAGACATGTTAAAAAATAACAGTATCTTCCCACTTTAATGAGTATCCTCCAAAATAGCAATTTGTAGACTAATGTGTTTACTACTTCTGAACATGACTGAGGTACTTTGACTATTTAAGAAAAGGTAAAAAAATTCACCTTCGCAATTGGTGTGATGAACTCTACCAAGAAAGATGGAACTGTTCGCAAAGATGGTCAAAAGTATGGATGAAATTAATTAAAGGACCCATTGTTCTAAATGAAGATGTAATCTGCATAGATAAATTGAATGACATCACTAACCAAAACCTAATGTGAATCAGCACTTGTCCTTGAAAATAGACTCTATATATAAAGAAAAAAAGAGAGACAATGATGTAAATTAAGCAAGGGATAATGCGAGGAAGATGTTACAACACCGTAAGTAATAAGTATAGGTGAAACAAACTAAACTCGATTGTACTTCTGACAAATACTTCAGCATACACAGTGCAAAGGCAAGCCAACATATAAACCTTATTGCACGTAAGCTTACTCTTTGAACTCGAAAGATGCATATACTATACAGAAGAATCATCCCTCGAGATATTGTGAGAAAAAATCATGAAATCTCCATTAAACATACAGCCAAAAACCTCAGCAAAACATAACCCAAAACACCAATTTGTAGCAGTAAAAATGCAGCAACAACAGCTGTTTGAGGAGCACAAAAATCGTTCATTTTCACAACCTTCTTCTTCCACCTTAAACCCACACAAACCAGCTGCAAACTCCACCTTAGAACAGCCCCAAAATACTCCAAAAAGCTGCGAAAATCAGCAGCAAACAGTCCAAAACGCTGCAACTTTCTCACCCAAAAATAGTCAAAAAATTCCAGCTGAAACGTACTGCCGAAATCGCTCAAAAACAGTCCAGAAATATGGACCAAGAGCAGTCAAAACTTAGCAAAAAACGGCCATAAGATCTGCGGCAAAACTCACTCCAAAATATCACTCAAAATAGCCCCCGTGCCCCCGTAACTTCTGAAAATCAGCCAAGAACGCAGCTTAAATTCTTCGAAAACGCAGCAGAAAAACGACCTGCAAATATCCATGAAAGCACACCTAAATTCAGCCCCAAAACAACTGCAAAAAAAAGTCCAAAATGCTGCTACTTCCAGCTCAAAAATAAAAATAGCAAAAGTAAATACATAATGACATAGGTAACTACTTTCGTTGATATAAAAATAATAATACTATTTGATACACAGGTAATTACTTATGTAAATGCATAATTCCCCATCCTCATTCTCTATGGGATGCCAGAGCAAGTTATCGTCTACATTTTTTACAGCATTTTGTTGCAGCTAATTTTCAATATACTACTTTTAACAATTAAAAATGACATAAAAGCACATGTATTGAATCGCGAAGTAGCGACACAGAGAATAACACATGTTCTTCACTCAATTCAATGCCGCATAATGTAATATTCAGAAATTAAATATAGAAAATGGAGAAATGGACCTTTGAGAATCTGGGCTTGGGATTTAAATGAAGGACCACCATCATTAAACGACATCACTCCACCTGGCAAAATAAGGTTTGTGAATGGAAAAGACGACGCGAATTAAAATTAAAATGTTAATTATGTTTTAGAAACATAAGAGGGAAAACATCTAGCTATCTTATAATGAGGATATGATATCATAAGTACACACAGAAGGTAGATATCCAATCACCTTGAAAGCTGACATTGAACTTCATCTCCAGTACTAATGCCAAATTTGAAGCAGTGGCCAAATTTAATCTCCAATGACAATCCCCTCTTTGAAATCGACATTACAAAACTAAAAAATGCAGAGAATAAGAAAACGAAAACAAATTGCATTTACTTAGTCATTGTGAATAGAATATTGTAAAATCCAGCATATATTCTATTGCAATTAATATAACTGAACATGAAAGGGAAAAAGAAAAAATTCGTACATGACATTCTGTGCTTCTTCACAAATGCGATGTAAGAAGTCCCGTTAATCCATGTTATGGAAAATCCTGACAGATCTGTATTTGCAACATTTTATGAAATGTTAATTTATATATAGAATAGAGAAATAGAGAAAGATATAAAAAAGAACAAAAAAGTAAAGCGTATTACATGTTTTAGATATCTTATCAACAACTATTGTCGCACTTGGTTAATGAATCTCAGCAACAAAAGTAGTACTTAAACCTCAAAAAAGACACTGATTATCTTTCGAGTGTCAGACTAAATTTCGAAAAACTTCTTTAAATACAACATTTGTAGCTTCATTAGTTATTTGTCCATCGTCATCACAAACCAAAATTTTTAATCCCTTTCTGCTTGTCACCCGAGAAAGAGCAACATATAGTTGTCCATGTGTAAAAACTGGTTTCTTCAAAAATAAACCCACGTGAGACAATGACTGTCCTTGACTTTTGTTGATTGTCATGGAAAAAGAAACAATGATTGGAAATTGTCTTCGCTGGAATTTAAAGGGAATTCTAGCATCAGATGGAGCCAATGTCATTCTTGGAATAAACACTTTTTGTCCGGCCATCTGTCCTGCTAATACCTTGGCTTCAATAACTTGATTTCCAAGTTTAGTTATGATCAACCTTGTTCCATTACATAATCCTGCTGACTGATCAATATTTCTTAATAACATTACTGGAATACCAACCTTTAGAGTAAGAGCATGATTTGGAACTCCAGAACATTTAATTGTATTTAAGAATTCAGCAGTGTGTACACGTTCCAGTGCTGAATAAGTATTGTCAGAGCTGCAGATTGTATCGGAACTCAAATAAGATTTCTCAGAACTTTGATTAAGAGAAATCATATATTCGTTGATTCATTCCACCATATCAAGAGTTGGAGTAAGAATGGCTCTTTGCTAGAGGTATCCTATATTATTGCAACGACTGTTGAAATCCGGATATGTACTTTCTACAATTGCAGATGTTGGATCAACAGATTGTTTTATCAAAAGATCATCTGGTATTAGGACTTTTTCATTGCCCTCAACAGAAGTACCAACTATACCATCGCCAATTGCCAAAACCCAATCTGAAAAAACTCTCAACTCATCTAGATGTGTCCCTGTTTCATTACCTTGCAATCTCATATTCTTTGTTAACTTTAAGAGTTGACAGTGTGGCCATAAATAAGAAGAATTGGGAGAAGCATTAACAATATCTTGTCTACTACCTTTTGGAATGACAGGTAATATTTGTCTGAAGTCACCACCTAGAACAATTGTTTTACCTCCAAATGGTCGGTATAAATTGGATGCATCTTTAAACCTAAGAATATCTCTTAAAGTTTTATCAAGAGCTTCAAAACAATATCTATGCATCATGGGTGCCTCATCCCAAATAATCAACTTTGCCTTAATAATTAAATTTGCTAAAGGAGTACCTTGCTTGATATTACATGTTGAATCTTCAGTTACATTTAGAGGAATCACAAATCTTGAATGAGCTGTTCGACCACCTGGTAATAACAAAGATGCAATCCCGCTAGATGCAACAGTTAACACAATATCTCCTTTAGGTCTTATGGCAGAAGATAGAGTTCTCCAAATAATAGTCTTTCATGTTCCTCCAAAACCATATAAAAAGAAAAATCCACCTTTCTCTTCATTCACATCTCTTATTATTTTTTCATAAACTAACTTTTGCTCATCTATCAAATTCTTTACTAATTGTTGATGCTCCTCTGTCAAAACGTGTTTATTATAACGCAATTCATCCCGTATTAATCTGTTACTGTTGTCAACTTCTTCCATATTATAAACAGGCCTTGGCATTGTTGGAAAATCCTGAAAACTTCTTCCACAACCTTTCAAAAAAATTTCAAGCTTTTGCAAACAACGATTTTTCAATTCTTCACCTGTTAGGTCAGCTTCTGAAATAACATTAAAATATAAAAGAATTAAATACAATGAAATTGTAAAGTTTAGTTTAGCCACATCAAATTAATAATAAAATTAACGAAAAGCATAGTGTTAAATAGTAGTTTACGTTAATTTAAAGCACATTTAACGTATATAGAATTTGAAGTAATAATATAGTCCAAACCATGTGGTTCATTTTATTTTTAAAAATTACTAACAATGTGAAGATGCATTTTATTATTCGTAATGTATCAAAAAAATCAATTTTGCTATCAAAAAAAAAATAATTGCAATATTTTCAATTAAAGTAGAGAATGCATAAGAGCGATTATAGGCTTTTCCGAAGCTTTAAGGCATTAAATACCATGCATTAATTTTCTATTAGTATTTATGTCCGAAAGCATTAATTAGTACCAATATTATTCCTATGAGCTAAACACAACACTATAGTAAAAAAAACAACATAACAAAATATTGTTTAACGAACATTAAGTTGTTGAGTGAATTTTGAATGAAGTTGGAAAATAAAAAAGTAGAAAGAAATGAACAATCAGATTAATATGAATGAAGTAATTAAAAAGAAAATTAATTAATAAAGTTAAGCAAATCGGCCATCCTTCATAAGTATCATATCATAACTCAAAATTGTAAGCATTAAATGAGTACCTGGGTGATCCAATATTCTTATTTCTTCATGAAGGATATCTTCTGATAGTAAATGCCATGTTGCTTGCCAAACACTTTCTGGACGTGACATTGAATTTGATAAAAGTAGCATAGCAAATAATTGCCTAAGATATAATGACATTCCCCAATTACTTGCTTTCATTATAGCATCCGCGTATTCCTTGTCATCATCTAATAAACCCAGAGCATAACATGCATCTCTAAAAGTCTCATGATCACAACCATTGACTTTTTTTAAATCCTCATAGCTCTTTGGACCTTTAATGACATTCAACAACAATCTAAGGTAATATTGCTCGCCAGAGCCAGGTGGAACAAAGAATATTCTGCCAATAGAAAATGCAGATGTTCTTCTTTTTTCCCATCTTTTTAGGTTTTGTTTCCACACAAACTTTAGAGGGAATTCTGCATAAGTCAATTCTCTTGCTTCACGAAATGTCTTATTAGCTTCAAACCAACTTAAAAACATAGATTCCTTAACGGTTGGTCTATTGACAATTGCATCAATTGGATCATCATCTGAAAATATCATCGTCTGATTATTTGGTAGGTGAAATGATAGCCTTTCTACAGGTGGTTCTCTATGGTGTATTGAGAATTTAAAAATTCTCCAAGCAGCTTCACAAGGTGATAGGTATCGACAATCACAATACATATTTATTTCATCAACAACCCTCGAGTCTTCATTATTTACACTTTGAGAAAAAGCTGCGGTGACACGATCATTACCTTTATTAACATACTTAAATAAGTACTTAATGGATCGTGATTGATTACACCACTCCACGTTAATATGTGCACCATACTTCAATAGTAAAAATCTATTATGCGGTACAACNGTGCGGTACAACATACCTATTATCCAACTCAATACCTACCCTCTTTGCAGTTCTACCATCATCCCTTCTTCTATAAATTGGATACTCATCTTCATCAATTGTGGTTGATGACACAAATTTTTTTGGAAAGTGCTTTGTGCATCTACCATTTTGCATGCACAGAGAAGATTTTCTAGCAGTACCACAATGACCATGCATCATAAAATTTCTAACAGCATTATAATTGTAAGCACGTGATTTTTGCTTCGCAAAAGTTACTCCAAAAAGAAAAGAAAATCAAAAAATAT